CATGGTGATTACCATTTCTCCACAGAAATCTATTTTGAACTTGAAATATATAAATAAATGAAAACTTGACATTGAAAGAGGTTATTAAATATATAATTATGATATAAACATAGGATTAGAGTAATTTCAGTGGAGTTTTACAAGCTACATACTGTAGGTATAATCTTTTATTATGTACAATACTCATTTTTGAAACTAAAATTAGCTTCACTAATTTAACATGTTCTGTTCAATAAGATCTTAATGAAATATTTTAAAATAAAATTATTTTTCTGTATTTTAAGAGTGATTATCATTGTTTAAATATCATTCTGATTATTTTATCGAAAGCACAGCAATATAGAAAACTGTAATCAGATTACATGTACTAGATTATGTTAGAAGAAAACTTTTTTCCTCTGGGCTGAATTTTGTTAGGGTTACATCTACTTTGATTTTCTTTTCTCCTGTGGGTGTGGTTGAAAGCAAATCTTTGTTCTGGTAACACTGTCTTTTGCTAAAGAAATGTGCAGTTTATCCATTCTTTATTCATTCTTAGATTTATCAGTTGAACCAGTTGTGAATAGAGAAGGGGGAAATGCATTACAAACAATTTCTTAGAGACAGTTATTGCATGGTTAGCTTTCCATCCAAATTTGCTTATGTTCTAATGAATTGTGTAAGAAAAAAAGCGAAAGTAACAAATATGTAGAATAACAGCTCTTTAAATGGCTCTAATTGATGGTATCAGCTTGTGTTAAAATGTCATTCATCAAGCCCAGAATAGCATACTGAATTCTGTGTAGTGACATCATACATTTTAGTGGAAACAAATGGTTTGCTACAAAGACTTATGGGAGGCATATTTATATATACCTTGTTACAAAGGCTGACCACATCCTGGCATTAAAAAAAGTGCTGTCTGATCCACAGATTCAATTTACTAATATTTCTATGAAGACACAGAGTAGCAATAACTAGCAGGCTTACATTAAACCTTCATACTACCTCAAGGACAAATCATGCGCTTGCTGTCTCTTGAAAACTCTGGCTCCTGATCCAGATAGAGGGGTTCTTAGTGTAACAATTTAGATATTGTCATAGATATTAAGTGTGCAGATGATACCACGCTGGGAGGGTTGCAAGTGCTTTGGATGATAGGATAAAAATTCAAAATGATCTGGACAAACTGGAGAAATGGCCTGAGGTAAATAGGGTGAAGTTTAATAAGGACAAATACAAAGTACTTTCACATGTACAGAATGGGAAGTGACTGTCTAGGAAGGAGTACGACAGAATGGGATCTAGGAGTCAAAGTGGACCACATGTTAAATATGAGTCAACAGTGTGATGCTGTTGCAAAAAAAGCAAACATGATTCTAGGATGCATTAACAGGAGTGTTGTGAGCAAGACTTGAGAAGTCATTCTTCCTCTCTCCTCTGTGCTGATTAGGCCTCAACTCGAGTATTGTGTCCAGTTCTGGGCACCACATTTCAAGAAAGATGTGGAGAAATGGGAGAAGATCCAGAGAAGAGCAACAAGAATGATTAAAGGTCTAGAGAACATGACATATGAAGGAAGACTGAAAGAATTGGGCTTGTTTAGTTTGGAAAGGAGAAGATTAAGAGGGGACATGATAGCGGTTTTCAGGTATCTAAAAGGATGTCACAAGGAGGAGGAGAAAAACTGTTCTCCTTGGCCTCTGAGGATAGGACAAGAAGCAATGGGCTTAAACTTCAGAAAGGGAGGTTTAGGTTGAACATTAGGAAAAACTTCCTAACAGTCAGGGTGGTTAAACACTGGAATAACTTGCCTAGGGAAGTTGTAGAATCTCCATCTCTGGAGATATTTAAAAGCAGATTAGATATCAATCAGGGATGGTCTAGATGGTATAGGGTCCTGCTGTGAGGGCAGTGGACTGGACTCAATGACCTCTCAAGGTCTCTTCCAGTTCTAGTGTTCTGTGATTCTGTGAGTCTAACCTGGAGGCATGGAGGCTACATCTACACTACAGCAGAAAGTCATCTTAAGGTACACAACTCTAGCTACGTGAATAACATAGCTTTAGTCAATGTACTTAAAGTTAAGTTGCCACGGGGTCTGCACCATCAGGAGTGGGAGGGGGGAGTCGATGGCAGAAATTCTCCCATCGGCTTCCCTTACTCTTCTCATCCAGGGTAGAGTAACAGGGTCTACCAGAGAACTGTCTCTAGTCAATTAGGCAGGTCTTCACTAGACCTGCTAAATCAATTGCAGTGTAGAAGTAGCCTGAGTTTACTGAGAGAGATTGGTGAGTGGGCTATACAGCCTTAGTTAAGGGCTTTTAGCTCATGAAGTAGAAGCTTATGCTTTTAGCTCCAAAGGTCCCAGGTTCCATCCTGTCTGCCAAGGGCCTGGGTCTGTCAGTGTTACATTAGTAATGAAGCAAGACTGCACATACATCAAAGTGCTATTGTCACAGTTATGTTGCATAGGCTCACAGGATAAATGAAAAGATCATGCTCACATCCTGACTAACCAAACGGTAAAAGTCTACTTTTCTTAGATGAGTCATTCAGGTGCTGTGTACCAAAAGGTATTACCCAAGTTTGTAGACATAGGAATGGTTTTGATTTCCTCTGTTAACTTGGGGGAAGAGGGAGAGGCTTGGTACTTTAAAAAGTGATTGTTTTCAAGAACTGATTTGAAAAAATACAGATTGAATCTCTCCTGTCAAGGACTCTCTGGCCCTGCATTGGGCTGGACCATGGATGTTGCAGGACCAAATAGCTCCTGGACCAGAAAGCCCTAAGAGCCTAGCAGCCTGGGCAGCAGAGTCCCACTGCCCCACAGCCCCAGGACAGTGGGAGCAGTGGCAACTCTGGCAGCCCCGGCAGCCCCAGTTACCCCACGGCTGTGGCAATACTAGTGTACCCAGCAGAGACCCGGAAGCCCCAGCAGTCCATCAGCAGAGGGATGGAACTGATCTCCCTTGGTCCACCAAACTCCCTCATTTGGGATAAGTCAGGCTCCAAGGGGGCCAGACCAGAGAGGTCCAACCTGTAGTACTTTTAGCTTAACATTTAATATTGATTTTTCAAATACTGCTTTCATCCATGACAGTAGAGTTTTGGAGACAGTCAAAAGTATGGCAGTATTTATTTTTTTCCATATAAATACTCGATCGCATATTTCATACCTTTTAAAAAGCTCTGTTTTTATGCTTTAGAATCTCAATCAAAATTAGCATTACTTGCAGACATGAAAAATACAATCCTATCAGTGGGAGTTTTACCTTTGATTTCAGGGGAACTATTGTTCTTTCCAACATTTGAAGTAGACTTTTTACTTAAAAAAAGAAAGATTATGTAGGCCTTGGTATTGTGATTAAATATTTAATTATAAGGTCAATGACCGGAAGAGTGGCTAGGTTAACTCAGCAATGAAGCAGTAGAAAAAGTAAAGTACAAACTATAGCTCATCTCAATAGATATGCAGAGAAAGATAGATCCAGCTAACCAACACGACGACCTAAATGAACAAGAATAGAAATACAGCCGCGTTGTGACCTGAAAAGATTATAGCAAATGCCTTCTGTTGCTTTACATGTAATTTATTTTTACATTTTCCACTAGTTACTGGTTAATTAAATGTTATTGTGATATTTCAAAATCAGCTACCTTGATGCTTAATTTTGTTTAAGGCATAACAGAATGGAAAATGCTCAGTTCTGGATGTTTTCCATTTTGGTTCTGCAATTAAGACACTATGCAGACGTTCATTTGACTACATTGTATTGTACATATATTTTTGAGCAACTGCCTTTACAGTTCATGAGAGTTATTTCCATTTGGTGGGATTGCTTAGGATCAAAGGCATTCCCAGCCTCGATCAGACCAGTGGTCTGTCTAGTTCAGTATCTTGTCAATGACAGTGGCCAGTAGTAGCTATTTCAAAGGAGGGTGCAAGAAGTGATCAATTATAACTGTCCTCAAAAAGACTGTAAATGGTGTAAAGGCTAATTCAATAACACTATCAGATTGACCCTCTCTAGTCCGGTACTCTCTGATTTGGCAACATTCGTGGTTCTTCATGATTTTAGTTAGCTGGATGTCTGCTTACCATAGGTGTGGCTAAGTTTCCTGCTGTCCTGTAAAATTTGTTTTCAGCCACTAGTCTTGGCTCTCAGTGTTCTGTGCTGTTGTTTGGCTCTAATTACCCCAAAATGTCTTCTAAGAGGTCAGCAAGCAGTGGAAGTGTTGGTAATGCTGCTAAGCTTAAGCATGGTTTTCATGCCAATATAGTAAAATTGTGTAACAACGCTAATAAATACTTTGTTATGAAGACAAACCTTGGCCTGGCATAGGCTAATATGGGTGTATCTGTATAGTCATACATTATTAAGTGGCAGTGCAAGCATTGTTTGGTTTATTCACCTTAGAGAAATAAAAATATAAAGAGACACACTCTCTACAATATTGACCTTCAGTTATTTGGCAACTTCACTGGCTCAGTGCCCGTCAGATCCTAAGGGTTCCAGAATAGAGAGGTTCAACTCATAGTAAGAATTTAGGGTGAATGGTCATGAAATATGTCTATTAAAGCATTTACAACAAATGTAATGAAGTGCAAGATCATTTTCAGAATAGCTAAAGGTAGATTTTGCCACTCTCACATAAAGTATTGCTTTGCTCTACGGGTGTAAAGTCAGACTCATTGTGAGTAACAGAGTCTGGACCTGAGTCTGTAAGAAATAAATGTGTCTGAATGTATCAGTCTGTATTACTGTTTGGCTCTCTCTGAGTATGAAACATAGAACTTTGAAGAGCAAAGGCTGAATCCTGCTCCCATGTAAATCCTGCTCCCATGTAAAACTTTTGCCATTTCCTTCAATGGGAGCCAGATTGTGCCCCAGAAGTGACTGGTACATTCCCTTATGTCCCTTATTTGTTTTTTTTAGGAGGGGGAGGAGTTTGAGGGGATGGAGTGTTGCCCTACTCCTTGATTCATATTACATATAATTTATATATTTTTATTTCAGGCGAAGATGATGAAGATTCAAATCTGCTAATCCTTAGTTATCCACAGTACTGTCGATATCGTTCCATGCTAAAGCGTGTCCAAGACAAACCATCTTCCATACTAACGGACCAGTTTGTTTTAGCCCTTGGTGGCATTGCAGTAACCACCAAGAATCCTCAAATCCTTTACTGTCGGGATACATTCGATCATCCAACTCTTATAGAAAATGAAAGCGTATGTGATGAGTTTGGTAAGTCATTTTGCCTTTTTTGTATGACAAGAAAAAGCATTTTCCCCTATTTAAGAGTTTGCACATTTCCAACTGAAAAATAATACTGAGAATCCTTTAAAGAAGAGCAACACTTTATTTGAAGTGTTAAATATCGAATGTGCTGCCCAATGCTCTATTGGGAACAGAGAGCTTTGGCAATGGGCTTTTATCTACTTGCAATCTTCACATTACAACTTCTGTTTATCATACCAAAGTTAGGGTGGAGTACATAGTGCAGTTATTCAGTGTAAATTAAAGGGACTCGTGTTATGTTTTGAAATACCTACCTGGTCAGTTAACCTGTACTTTAGCTTTCCCTTAGGACTCTAGCGTTATGAAGTTTTGTTTTTATAAAGAAATCATTGCTGCAGCATGCTAAGTAATGCAAAAGAAAGAAGACTCTCTTGGTGTTTCATTAGCATAGTGCATATCTCTTATCATGGTGCCCATAGTAATTATATAATGCCTACTGTTGCTATCGCTCTTTAAGTTTACCAAGTACTTTACAGATAGTTGTTATTCTTCACACCAGCCTTGGCAGTAGATAGCTGTAAATATTATTATCTTCTTGGGGAGACCACGTAACTTGTCCAAGGTTTGCAGTCACACAGTTGCTTTCACTGTTCCACGATTGCCATTCAGAAGAAAAAGATCCAGGATTAGCACTCAGAAGTGCTTGGCTTCTTGCTAGATGCTCAACCCTTTAGCCCACACAGTTTGATTCTAAGGGTATGTCTACACAGCAGCCGTTATTCTGAAATAACAATGCGAGCATCTACACAGCAATTCCTTATTTTGAAATAAATTCAAAATAATGGATGGTTTATTCCAACTTCTGTAAATCTCATTCAATGAGGAATAATGCCTATTGTGAAATAGCTATTTCAGAATAGCAGTAGTGTGGATGCTCCACTGCTACTATTTCAAAATAGCTCCTCCCCAGGCCATTCAAAATAATTACTCCCCAGTGCCTCCTGGGGCTCTAAAGTAAGTAGAGTGTTCACATTAGGGGAGCCTGCCTCTGACTAATTTTGAGGCTTCGCTGTAGTGAAGATGTGCTATTTCGAAATAAACTGTTTTTAAATGATCTATTTCAAAATATGTGTGCAGTGTAGCTGTACCCTAACAGTGCATAGGAGAAACAGTGACCATATACACGCATTATTGGTGGAATGACTGTCACAGTAACATCAATTAATGGGAGTGTTGCCAAAGAAAAGTGCTTGATTCTGCAAGTGCTAAATCCATCCTATGAGTTGCTCCCTTGATTCAGTAGGAACAGAAGATGCTCCATAGTTCCTAGGAGACACTCAGAACTTTGTATGTTCAAGCCATGAAGAAGGTCTGTAAGATCTGCCCCACTAAGACTACCAGAAAACTATGATTTTTTTGTCAGATTAACTGGCACAGATGTATTTGTGACAGAATACATGCTCTGTGTACACGCTGGATAACTTCAGTAATAGTCCAATGTTATTTGTAGAATGTGCTGTGAGAATCACATTTTATTAGCTATATCACCAGATGGATAAATATTGCAGTGGATGGCAAAGAGTATTGTTTATGGCATTAAGACCTTTGACACATTAAATTAACAAATCTCTGCAAGATAGCATCTGTTTCTTTTAGAAAAACAATTTATGTTTATCCATTTAGGTCATAGTAATGTTTTTCAGGAAATCTAAGTAGAGAGAAATGTTCCCTCTGTTTTGTTTCCCAGCACCCACCTGCTAGCTGGTATTATTTAAGTCTTCTTCCTTTCAGATTATATTGTTACCCTAAAGCTGTAAAACCCACCTCTGTGACTAGATTTGGGTGTTTCCTATATGCAGTGCAGAAGTGTTTTATTGTAAGTCAGTAATACTTGTAGGGCCTGATCATGCAGTCCTTAATGTATGGGAGAAGGTATTTCTTCCATGAATGGCAGCACTGAAATCTGTGATTTCTTATGATTAAAACTATTCACATGAGTAAAGAAGTGGGCCCTATATGTCATTGACGTTCAATAAAAGTCCTAGCATTTTATTAAACCGTTGAATTAAGACATTGGTCGATATTGGGGAAAAATAAAATGAATGAAATATCATGAAAATCTGATCCAATGTACAATAGTATCATCTTCATTTTTAGTTCCATTGAGTTATCCAGAATGGAAGATAATGTTCAAGTTTAATGAATGGTCCTTCTTACATTACAAAGGTTATTTTATGCTTAGGAATTTGATGAGCACGCCATCTTTTTTCTGCGTTGTATCTTACTCAGGGTCATTCCTTGATTACAGCTTTGCTGAAATTGTTGAGCCTATAATGTAAGCATATCATGGAATATTAGTTATAGGTGAGGCAAAGAGAACTGGAGTCACACAGGAATCACATTTAGTGAACTACAGCAAGTGCCTTTGTTCAGCCTCTGAAAGCTATGCCATTCTCTTGACCTTTTCTAGACAATTATCTGATTATCAAACCAGAGCTAAAGAAATCTTTTTCCCCAACATTAATTATGTGGATTTTAAATTCGCCTTAATTTAACCAGGAGGATTTTTAAATATCCAAAAGAAAAAGTTGGACTCTTTTAAAATGTATTTTCAAAACTAATCATGCTGTAAAATTTGCAAGAACTGCTGTGTTAGGATATTGCAGACTGCGCTTCATAGAATTCTGTGCCTGTGTCGTAAAATGTGTGGAGTCAGTTAGATTACCTTGGTTGCATGCAGTACACAAAGGTTTTTCTTCTTTTCTTCCTGGCAGGACAATAAACGTGCAACACTTTGTTATGCAAACTGTTTACCCTGATATCATGAAGATTGATGTCACATGTGTAAAGTAATGACTGCTAAATGTAAACAGTGGCAGGGTGGTATAGTACATAAATGGATTACTCTAAGGCACTGTTGTTTATCGTCAAATCTGAGGAGGAGATTATATAAATGAGAGTAAAATTCTTAAAAGGTGTTTACTAAAAAAATCCAAATACACTTCATTTGACAGTCTTGGATATTTCTCACACTGGGAAAGAGAACGTGAGGGAAAGGGCGTGGAAAAGGTACAGATGTGTATTTCTCCCATTCCTAAAATATCTACATCAGTGTTTCTTAAACTTTTTGAGACTACGGAACACCAAATAATAATATGTTTTATGCAGAACACCTATGGAAATGTTCTTAAAAAAATGGTTGTCAGACCAAAAAAAAAAAGACAAAAACAAAGAAGTAACAAAAACAAAGAAGAGGTCGCGACACACCTGCGAGTTGTTCACGGAACACCAATGTTCCGCGGAACATAGTTTAAGAAACACTGATCTACATTAATTACAAAAGACGTGCACTTCTTTAGGAGGGAGTCTTATACTTATTACTCGTCGTGCAAGCCCTGATATGCACTCTTATTTCCAATGTGGATACTACATTACTTATTGTGCTACTTAGTAAAATTGTACACTTATATTTTGGGAACTGCAGTACCTTATGATAGATACAATATGTAATAAGTGAGATACCAAAAACACCTTGACAAAGAATTCCATTCACGAAAGCATAGGAGCTTCTGTACACATTAGACCACTTTAATAGAGAGAAATGTTCTTCCATAAAGCTTTTCCCCAGTTTTATTATGCATTTTTAGCAAGAACATTGTGTTCTCCTGCATATGACCTTTTTTCTATCCTGTTTTCAGTTTGGTGAAGGGGGAAAAAACAGCGACACAAGGGATAAAAAAATCTTGTCTCAGTGTTCTTCATGAAAAAAAAAAAGAAAGGTGGGAAATTGTTCTGCAACTGTCAAGGGCAGCTAAACTGTGTCTGTCAATCATCAAAGGCATGGTGGAAAAATAGTTCACTGTCCCATCTGTTGGCACCAAGACCACTTACAGAGAGAATAATGACTGCCCTATAGCCTTACCTGAGAGCCAGCTGGTGTTTAGCTTACATGGTAGAGGCTCATGCCCTAAGATCCAACAATCCCAGGTTCAGTTCTGCCCACAGATTACTGGGCTATGCTGGTGTTACATGTGCACCATTTAACACCCTAATCCTGCAAGGTATTTCACATTCACAGGATTGCCACCAGAGTCTGGCCTTAGGTTAATTAAAATAAATTACTGCAATGAATGCCCACAGGCACTTCAAGCTGAGTCTGGGTATAAGCACATCCCTTTCTTCTTCTCCCATATCTTTCTCCAGAGACATTATGGATACCTCTACACTGTTATAAAACTCCTGTGGTTGGTTCATTGGGATCAGGCTGTGGGGCTGTAAAATTATAGAGTAGATGTTGGGGTTAGGCTGGAACCTGTGCTATGGGCTCTTCCTCCCCACAGGCACTTCAAGCTGAGTCTGGGTATAAGCACATCCCTTTCTTCTTCTCCCATATCTTTCTCCAGAGACATTATGGATACCTCTACACTGTTATAAAACTCCTGTGGTTGGTTCATTGGGATCAGGCTGTGGGGCTGTAAAATTATAGAGTAGATGTTGGGGTTAGGCTGGAACCTGTGCTATGGGCTCTTCCTCT